TGTGCTGCTATGAACATGGGTGCACATATATCACTGTGGTATGATTCTTTTAATTTTTTGGGGAAGATGCCCAGCAGGGGAATAGCTGGGTCAAATGGGACTTCCAGTCCTAATTCTTTCAGGTATCTCCATACTGACTTCCAGAGCGGTTGTACCAGTCGACACTTCCAGAAGCAATGGAGCAGTGTTTCTCTTTCCCCATAGACCCAAAAGGATTTGTTATTGGTTGATTTCATGATAGCAGCCATTCTTTCTGGGGTGAAGTAGAATCTCAGCTTTGTTTTCATTTGCATCTCTCAAATGACCAGTGATGTCGAACATTTTTTCCTATGTTTATTTGGTATTTCTACTTCTTTGTCTGAGAAAGATCTGTTCATTTCAGATGTCCATTTTTGGATTGGGTCTTTAAATTTGGGAGATCTGATTTTTTTTTTAAGTTCTTTATAGATTCTAGATAACAGACCTTTGTCTGAGGAACAGCAGGTGAAAATATTTTCCCACATTGTGGCTTGTCTCTTCACGGTGTTGGTGGTTTCTCTTGCTGTGCAGAAGCTTTTTAGTAAGAAGAGATCCCATTTGTTGTTTGTGGTAGTTCACGGGCAACTCAGGTTTTGTTCATAAAATCTTTTCCTACACCAATGTCTTCAAGAGTTCTACCTAATCTCTGTTCCAGCCGGTTCAGCATTTCTGTTTTAATATTTAGATCTTTAATACACTTCAATATTAGTTTAGTGCATGGTGAGAGATATAGGTCTAGTTTTAGTCTTTGGTAAGTTGAAACCCTATTTTTTCCATTTATGAAAGAGGCTATCTTTCCTCCAGTGAGGGTCTTTGGCTCCTTTTTTGAAGATGAGGTGGCCAAGTGTGCTTGGAGTTGTTTCTGCATCTTCTAATCTGTTCCACTGGTCCTCAGGTCTGTTTCCTTGTCAGTACCATGCTGTGTTTATCACAGTAGCTTTGTAGTATTGTTCCAAGTGGTGGATTGTGATACCCCCTGCCATCCATGTCTCTGGTACCTAGAATTACTTTTGGTATTCTGGGT